CCAACCTAGTAGCAATGGCCTTCAACCTAATAGCGATGGCCTCCAACCCACTAGCGATGGCCTCCAACTAACTAGCGATGGCCTCCAACCTACTAGCAACGGGCTCCAACCTAGTAGCAATGGCCTTCAACCTAATAGCGATGGCCTCCAACTGACGAGCGATGGCCTCCAACCTAGTAGCAATGGCCTTCAACCAAATAGCGATGACCTCCAACGTACTAGCGATGGCCTCCAACTGACTAGCGATGGCCTCCAACTGACTAGCAATGGCCTCCAACCTACTAGCGATGGCCTCCAACTGACTAGCGATGGCCTTCAACTGACTAGCGATGGCCTCCAACCTACTAGCAAAGGCCTCCAACCTAGTAGCAATGGCCGTCAACCTAATAGCGATGGCCTCCAACCTACTAGCGATGGCCGCCAACCTCCTAGCAAAGGCCTCCAACCTAGTAGCAATGGCCTCCAACTGACTAGCGATGGACTCCAACTGACTAGCGATGGCCCCCCCAACCTACTAGCGATGGCCTCCAACCTACTAGCGATGGCCTCGAACCTAATTACTAGCGATGGCCTAGCGATGGCCTCCAAGCTGCTGGCGATGGCCTCTAACCTCGTCGGGATGGCCTCCACCACTAGCGATGGCCTCCAACCCTAGTAGTGATGTGGATGTTTATACCACAAAAGACCTCTTCCGGATTTGGTCACCCAATCTCATCCGCTTGGGCCCGGAGGCGGACGGTGTCTATATGCTTTGGAGAAGCGGTGATCTTCAAGACACCATGGTCGACGCCAAGAGGTTTTTCGAACTTAGCCGCTAAGCAGCAAACAAGAACTGTGAGTGTCACACCCAAAAAAATGGATGTGTGAGTTGTTTCAAAGTTGTTTGAACTTTTTTTTTCCTGGAGTTTCTCTCATACGATGATACTACTACACGAGGTCTAAATCAGCGGGTCACTCGCTTTTTTTTAATGCCGTGACAAACCCGCTGGACAGCTCGTGCACAGCCGTAGGACACACCCGAGCAGATCCAGAGCTATATCCCACGAATTTCGTTGGCTGGCTCATTGTGAAAAGCCCTCCAGTGGATGAGACGTAACATGAGCTCATCCGGAGGATCCTTGGGTTGCTGTCACAGCAACCCTTGTTGACTTCTGTTGCCAAGCAATGAAGTGGACAGATTCTTTTTGTGTGTTTGGCGGGCGTTTGCCGTGCGCGCTCTCTTTAGTTGGTATCAGAATTTGGCGTTGAGCTTGAGTTCACAGCAAGCCAAAATCAGACCATTTGCGAAAAAGTGCCTTGAGTCTCAACCTAAACCACTGCCATCAATAAATCATTACAAACTCTGTGGCAATCAGTTGAAAAGCGGTGAAAACATCAACTTCCTTCAACTTCCACGCTTTGTCAAAACACAATTATATAACTTCCGTAGTCACTTCTGCGTCGACCAGTGAGGCGATCGCGATCGCGATCGCCAGGCCTTGGCCCGTCGACACTTGGCCAAGAAGCGCGTGGCGAAGATGCGTGCTGCCCAGCTGCGTGTCCGGGCCTCGATCCCTTTTGGACATGCCAAACATCCGTTTTTGGATGTGCCAAGCTCTTGGGATTGACAGGATTTGGGGAGACTGTCATGGTGAAATCTTGGAAGATGCTTGATATGTTTGATGATATATTGGTCGTTCGCATGGTGGGTCTCTTTGCTTGCTTTATTGGCGAAAGTGAGGGGCGCTGAGACGATATGGTTGAGTTGATCACAAGCAACCTTGTGAGGGTAGAAGTTTACCATGCTCAAAAAGAGGCAAGGCATACAAGAAACTCATCAGGTTGCGCATTTTGGCCTTTGTAGGGAACACTCAGGCTACTCCTTGGCGTTTGCTCGCTGCAAGACCTAGTAACAAGGGCATAGCTAATAGTAACAAGGGCATCGCTACTAGTAACAAGGGCATTACTAGTAGTAACAAGGGCATTACTACTAATAGCTAGAAGCTACTAGTAACTACAAATTCTGAGCCATTATTTCCTCGCAAGGTGTCCCACAATGCGGCAACCACCATTCGGAAGCAGCTTGGAGACAAAAACGAAGAGCACCAAACAGAAAGGAATGAAACGGAAGAGACCAAGACTTGATTACTCTTTCGTTAGAAAATCCTTTATTTTCAGCCATCGAACATCCAATAGTCAAGCTTTCCCTTTACCAACCTTCGCAAACTTCCGGCAAAAGAGCAGAATGCCAAGAATAGCAGAAAGTGGTTAGTCTCACTGCAGTTAGTGTTTCACTTGTCGAAAAGAAGACAGGGACAAAATTGCATCCCACCTTCGGTGGGACTCCCAGACCCTGAAGCAAGTAGCCATTTTAGAAACCGAGCAAGCAGACTCTAGCAGACCAATCGCTCTTAGGTCCCTGAATCTTGGCCATCGCTCTTAGGCCATTGCTACAAGGTTGGAGGCCATTGTTTCTAGGTTCCCTGCTTATTGATTGCTAGATTTGTTGGAAACAATGCTTTCCGTTGGGCCATCACACGACTCAGGATGTGGCTGGGTTTCGATCAGCGAAGGAAATACTTAGCGCTCCGGAAGGAGCTGCGGTTTCCGCTTTTTGGGAAGCCCAAGAACAGCGGCACCGAGCCAATTGTATAGACACGAAGTTGCAAAAGATTGCAAAAGCAACGAAGTCAGGGATGTGGTTCTTTCTTTCTTTCGCTTTCGGAGCAAGTCGGTTCAGATTTCTATCCCACCTGAGTGCGAGTGGGTCGAGCGGAGGAGTTCCTGGAGCATGAAAGCTCCGTGGTCACTCTCCAGCAAAGCCGGCCTGTGTTTGATGAGACGAGGAATGAGACCTGAAGGATCAGATGAAGCGAGAATCCAGTGCTTTGATGGATTTGGTTGGACGCTACTAGGGGCTCCTGGCATCGCTACTAGAAACAGGAAGCTACGAACGAGGCTCCTGGCCTTACTACTAGGATCAAGGAACTGACCTGTGGGTGCCAGTCATGCTTGTTTTGAAGCTGACCTGTGGGAGACTTTTCTCTTGAGCAATGCGATGTTTTCTCAGACCTAAAGGAGGACATCTAACGAATTCAGAATCCTTGACAGCTGTTCTTCACTTGTCGAAGTAAGTGCAAGGCGCTTTGCACGCGGATATTTGGTGCGCTTGAGGACGGCAACCGCGCTCTCCACGGCAACTGCTCTCTAAAGCACTGCTGTGTCGCCCATTCCGTTCTTTCGTCACGGTGGTCCAACAGCTGGGGTTTGTAGAAGCATCCCCCCAAAGGCAACCATCATCTTCATAAAGCAGTGAGCAGTGGGTTCCGGGTCAGGATGTGGCGAGATGCCATTCGGTCGGAAGAGCAACTCTGGGCTGCCGTGGAGGTCGGCTGGAGCAGCTCCAGTTCCCACAGAGAGGACCTGAGAATGAGAACAACACTCCCCTTTCTTCCACTCATCAGGGTTGATGACCTGGTGGTGCAGATTTTGACCCACTTGAAGCACTGCAAACCATGGCGGCAGCAAGACATTGCGTTGCGACATGCAGCAATGTCCACTCAACAAGGAGCCATGATGATTGCTGGCTTTGACTATTGGGGAAGAAAACCTGATGCGGATGTTTTTTTTTTCTGAACCCAGTCGCTAAGTTTGTTTGGGGGATTGCATGAGTATGTTGAAGGTGCAGAGGCAGTAGGTACGCTACAGAATCATCCACACCAAAACATCGACACACCATATACCAGGAGCCCCTAGTAGCTTCTTGTTACTAGCTGCAAAAGCAAATCCTGGCAGTTTGTTTCCAAACGAATGTCCCTTGACCACCATGATTCAATCACCCTGGCAGATTGAGCGCTGCTGGCGCGGCTACCTGGGTAGGCTCAGGTGCGCTAGGAGCATTTCGACAATCATGCAGTATTTAAAGCAGTAGCACGCTTTTGCAGCAGAATAGGACAGCATCAAAACCCAATCACACTTCTGCACTTGTGTCGTTGGGGAAACACTTGTGCAACTCTACGAAGAGGCCAAGCATGCAAACATGATCTAGTGATGCATGCATTGGTACTACGGTACTACGCAAGGCGCAAACCTGTTGACTGTTTCTACTCTCGTGGTCTCTAGAGGAGACCTGCCCCGAATACGAACGGCCAGGTGGGAGACTGAATACGAACGGCTTTGGGCACGTGAGACCGCAGCACTGATGATCCAGCGAAACCTCCGTGGCTGGCTCGCCCGCACCGCAGCTGCTCGGTCATCCTTTGTGGTCGATGGGGTGAATCATTTCGAAGACATGTGGACGAAGAAAGCAAGCTCATGGACGAATTCAGCCTACTAGGACGCTACTAGGAGCAAAGGGCATCGCTACTAGGAGCAAGGACGCTACTAGGGGCTCCTGGCCGTACTACTAGGAACAAGGACGCTACTAGGAGCAAGGACGCTACTAGGCAATCTCAACTCCTTCTTCTGGCACGTCTCTATAGGACCGTAGACAACCTCATAAAAGCCCATGCACCCCCCCAATTTGCACGGAAAGACAGACATGTTTCCTAGTAGCTTCTTGCTCCTAGTAGTAAGGCCAGGAGCCCCTAGTAGCTTCTTGTTACTACTAGTAAGGCACCTGTTACTACTAGCGTGGCACTTGTTGGCTACAAAGCTCCAAAGTAGCAGACACAGGTCCAATGGTGTTTGCCGAAGAGACGCTCAGGTGACAGGGCGACGTCGGCGCCGCGCCCGCGCCGAGTTCGAGAAAGCCCGGAGGTGGAGATTTGTGAGATTTTACATGAATCAAAGCGATGGCCTCCAACCTAATAGCAATGGCCTCCAACCAACCAGCGATGGCCTCCGACCTAAGAGAGAGAGAGAGAAGCAAGAGATTGAAGACTAACTTGGACATGTGTCGAACTGTTTTCACAGCTTTAGGGTGTTTGTCTGCATTTTGTTCAGTCGTTTTTTCGGTGTTTCATTGCATGTCTTATTTCTTTTGATGTCTAGCTAGCTATAAGCACTTGTTGGTTCCTTTTGAAGAGTCCCTTGATGAGTTTGAGGCGTTTCAAGGCAGCGCAGAAGATCCAAGCGTCAAGGGCTCAGATTGAAATTGCAAGAAATCCAAGCTTTGCTTGAAGATGTTTTTTTTCTCTTCAAAAGATATTTTACATTTCGAGGCTGGTTCGAGGGGTGCTTTGCAGAAAGAGAGCCGGCAGCTTAAGCAGTGCCAACATGTTGAAGCATCCTATTCTTCATTGGCATTTGTCTTGCACTTGCACGTGCTCCAAACACCAGATTTTGTTGCTATTCCACGTGCACAAGGTGCTTCGCTTTTGGCATCACAAGGTTGAGGACCCACCCAGTGAGCAAGACAACGGTGGTTGATGTTCAAAGCCTTTTCAGTAGCAAGAACGCTACTAGGGGCTCCTGGCCTTACTACTAGGAGCAAGAAGCCATTAGGAGCAAAGGGCATCCCTACTAGTAGCAAGAACGCTACTAGGGTGAAAAAGGCTTTACAACGGTGGGCGCAACAACGGCAGGCCGCAACAACGATCCAACGCATTTGGCGCGGCCATCGACTTCGTTGTCAGAAGTTTGCAAAGGCTCGGTGACTCTTTTTAGGCCCCTCCTACTCAATTATGTAGGCGCCTACGTACTTAATTATGTAAGGGAGTAAGCTACTAGCCGCTTGAGCTTTTAGTAACTGGACACAGGATACTGGATACCTCACACTTCTTCAAGGAAGCTCCCCCCGCCTGAGGGAGCTTCCTTGAAGAAGCGTTCGCACTAATGATTTGGTTCCTAGATTTTGGGGAATGGTAATCGTCATGTGGAGGGTTCTAGAGCTCCTGGCGCTTCCAGAGCAAGGTCCTCCTTCCAATTGGGACTCAGGACCAGTGTGATACATCGTTCAAGTATACTAGCCCCAAGTTCTGTGTTTTGGCTAGTTGGAGGCCATCGCTCTTAGGTTGGAGGCCATCGCTCCTAGGAACAAGAAGCTATTAGGGGCTCCTGGCCTTACTACTAGGAGCAAGAAGCTACTAGGGGCTCCTAGCATCGCTACTAGGAGCAAGGACGCTATTAGCCAGTAGGTTGGAGGCTCCATGGGTCACACATCGCATACACCTGATCCGATCGTGCAGGATCGTACGCGAGATGTGGTGAAGATCCAGTCGGCCGTGAGGATGTTCTTGGTGCGAAACCGGCGCTTTCACCTTTTGGCCAAGGCACGGCCTTACTACTAGGAGCGATCGGACGCTAGTAGGGGCTCCTGGCCTTACTACTAGGAACACGAAGCTACTAGGAGCAAAGGGCACGGCCTGTGAT